GTCATTCACAATTTAAAGTGATTCACTGCTTTCTGATTCTGAAAGACTGAACACGTAGAATGGAGCAAATGATTAATTCTACTGTTTACTGTTTACTACTGTACAACTATGACCGAAGCAGCTTATGTGAACTGAGCTGTTTTTTTCTGACTTGAGATTCTCTCTAGTCCACAGGTAAAGTGGTTCATGGTCAATACACCTGTGAAATAAATGAAAATGACGAAGGGTGGAATTTTGTGATTGCTTTTGATTTGCGCTGATGTTCTGAAATGCAGAGTCCTGAGTCAGATTTCCTCACAGGGCCCTGATTTCTGCCACTGTCATTGCTTCCTTCACCCCTCACCTGACGTAGTCTGGCCTCTTCCATTAACCCTAAATAAGTCCAAGGTGGCTGAGACGGCCGAGGGGCTGCAGCGGCCCTGACCTGGTCAGGATGGGTCAGGATGGAGGATGGAGGCAGGCAGCCTTCTCTCTCCACACCCACGGTTCTCAAATTCCATTCGGTCTGTTGTCAAATGGGTAAAAAGGAAAGCGAAATATTAGCAGCCAGCATTTACTGCTCACACAATCCTCACAACAACTCGATCAATATGGTGCTATCATTCTCCATATTGTACAGATGAGGAAACTGAGGCTTAGAGAGGTCAAGTGATTTGCTAAGGTCACACGAGTACGGCAGCTGGGGAGCTAATTCCAGAGCCCTAACTGTTTTATCCTGTTTAAGCAATAGACAAATCCAAAATCTGACTGAACTAGGAATCTGACATGGAAAGAAGCACGTTAGTAATTAGCTCTCAGCCCCTCTTGATTTTCCAGAGGTCGTCAGGAATTGATGGTTAACTCTTGGCCTTCCAGAGAATTGTTTTCTCCCCGACGCCTGGAGCGGCTGTATTTAGGGCCATTGCACCACCTCGTGGTCATGATGGGAACTGCACCTCCCCCGTAGTCCCAGAATCCTGGCTCATACTAGCAGGCTTTTCTCCGAGCAGCCTCGAAGTACTGTCAGTCTGAAATTCCAGAGGAAAAATTCTTCTAGAACGGGGCTTGACGCAGTTGACTGGCTGATCTCCAAAGCCGGGAGAAAGAAGCCTTTCATTTCCCCTCCTCGCACCCCACGCACCTTGGCTGAAGGGCCTGTTAAGAGCGATGGGCGCTTCCTGCGGGAAGTCCCGCCCCCATCAGACAGCCTGGAGTTCCTCTCTCTGTCTTCAATTTCTTTGCGAACCCTTTGCACCCCGCTCCCGCCCTGCCATGTAATGTTGGCTGTGGCTGGGTCTGTTTTCTTTCCATGTTGTTTTCTTCTGGGCGGCAGAGGGAAATGTGGATTCCTTCAATTAATTTGCCTCAAGAGTTTCATCTTTGCTCTTTCAGCGAAACTGATCTTATTTCTAACACATGATAAGCTACAGGATCTGGGGCAAATCACATAACCTCAGCGAGACTCTTCTGCACAATAGGGATATGACTAGGCCAAGGATTTTTGTGATGATTAAATGACGTGCTGCGTTTAAAAGCATTTTGTAAACTGTAACAAAATATGCAAATGTAGTTCCTGTCAGCAATTGTTGCTTGCTTACTACTGAGAGTAGGCAATAACCCCTTGTCTAGGCAATGGATCTCTCTTCCTCTTTACCCAAGTGGAACAGGGATCACGTAAGAGGTGACAGTGAGGAAAAGCGATAAGGAGTTTCTATAATGCAGAGCAAGATGAGGGTCATTGCTTCATAATCAGTATAGGGTATGCCTCCTCCCCCTTTGTTTTGGGGTCCTAAAATGTCCATTACAAAGTTGCTACGTTCCTTCCAGTACATGGGGTTTTAGGGCTTGTAAGCCCTTTCTACTTATGGCTGGTAACACTTAATCTTCGTGATTGTCTTGAGAGAGGTTTGATAATGCCTGTTTGCCTGTTTGCCAGATTAAGAAGCTGATGATGAGAGGGATGAAGTGTTTTCCTTAAGTTCTCAGGGTAGCAAAATTGAGTTGAGAACGTGGATCTTTGGATTTCCGATCAGGGCTCCTTCATTTACCACTTATATGTTCCCTCTTTTTTTTTTTTTTTTTTTTTTTTTTGCAGTACGTGGGCCTCTCACTGTTGTGGCCTCTCCCGTTGCAGAGCACAGGCTCCGGACGTGCAAGCTCAGCGGCCATGGCTCACGGGCCCTGCCGCTCCTTGGCATGTGGGATCTTCCCGGACCGGGGCACGAACCCGTGTCCCCTGAATCGGCAGGCGGACTCTCAACCACTGCGCCACCAGGGAAGCCCTATGTTCCCTCTCTATAATAAGGAACAGGGGCTTCCAAACTTTTTTGACCAGGAGCCACAGTAAGAGATACATTTTGTACAGCAGACATGTAAGTGTACAACTGAACCAAAGCATCAAGAAACAGTACTTATCCTGATTATGTACATTGCACCCTATTCTGTCCTATTCATTAAAGATGTGCTGTTCACGGCTCATTAAACCAATTCACAACCCACTAGTGGACTGAGACCTGCAGTTTGGAAAATACTGATCTAGAAGGTTCTCAAACAATCCCCACAGGATACGTGACCATCACAACTGCCCATGGTCTCAAATGGATATTATGAATCTGAGGGAATGAAGAGGAAAATAAAATGAATTCAGACAGTTTCACCAACTAGAACATATTGCCTAATGGATTAGACAATTAACTCTCAGAAATCTTTTGAAATATAATTTTTAAAACTCTAAAATAGCTGCATTACAGTTACTGTGTTTCTACCACATCGTGAGCACAGCATTTATCACTCATAATTATTATTGCCTCTTTACACATTAGTGTCCACCCACCCAACTTTCAACCTTGAAGGAAGGGGCTACGCCTTAATCTCAGGGCATTGAGCACTGTGCTTGCTGGGTGCTCAATAAATATTGGTTCACTTAATGCATTAAAAAAAATGAATTGCAACCATTCTACTTTCCTGTTACTCTCACTATTCAAAGTACCATTAAGTTCAAAAGGCAAAGACTAAAGTGGCAGGGGGGCGGGTGTGATGAATTGGGCGACTGGGATTGACATGTATACACTGCTGTGTATAAAACTGATGACTAATAAGAACCTGTTGTATATATAAAAAAAAAAGGCAACGACTTGGTCTATGTAAAATCCTCTCTTTAAAAATTAGGGACTATTGGCTTCATCCTGTTGGTATTACGGGGGCGGGGGGAGGGGCGGAAATCCAGAGGGAGAAGTCGTAAAGAAAGAAGGAGGAACTTGGTTTTCACTCGTTCATGCATCCCTACTGTCCGGACTCCTGCAGAGTGGGTCTGTGCCCTTCAAATAAATGCCACTAGGTAATGATTTTGTTTTGTCTTTTCCCTTGGTGACTTGACTATCCCCTAATTGAGTTGAAGCCTACAGACCTTAAATACGAGTCTGACTAATGCAACCTAATTGCGATGCAAGAGTATGAATTTTGGCTCGTGGCTAGAGTAGGAAGGAAAGGCTGTGATGGGCCTTCAACAGCGCACCTTACAAGCATTGGGGGTTTCCTGTGCTGTGAGTCCTTGCCACAAGGATGGGCCGCGCTTGATGAGAGCCAAGGCCACACACTCTGAAGGCCCCAGAGAGAAAGTCTGTGCAGCCTGAAGCAACAGAACAAGACTCCAGGTCCACGCAGCCGTCTCGCCTATGGGTTCCCACTGATAAAAGTGCCAGCCTCTCTCCCTGTCTAGTCAAGCAAAGACGCAGTGTCTCCGGGGACCCACGGGATGCTGGAACAACTCCAGGCCCCCTGCCCAATGGACTGGAGTGTAAAACAGCAACTCTTCATGCCACTGCCTCCGGGAAGGAGAGCAGACTACATTAATGCCCTGTTCTCTGGGCAAAGAGAGTGCGTACACCACCACCCCTGCTCCACATGCTGCGTGATGCTAAGAGAGACGCAGGGAGGGACAGTGTTGGATCAGTGCCATCTCTTTGTTTTTCTCTTTGAAATGAACTGGGGGGAAAAAAAGGTTGCACTGCAGTCCTCAGGGTTTTCTTTGGATTTTTGTTTGTGAATAGTCATTAATAATGAAGCTGCCAATTGCAAATTAAAAGACTAATATATAATAACGGTTTCATATTTACATGGAGATTTAAAACATAATGTTAAAATGTTTTCCAGATAGAGCAGTAGAACTTCTTTATTCAGTGAAACAGAAATGCTTTTTAAAATCGTGAGTGAACATAATGATTTAAATGTATGTGAAGAGAATGAAAAGAATATGAGTTTTCGCTTCAGGCAGACCTGGTTTGAATGGTGGCTCTGGCCCTTCGTAACCTGCAGGACAGGAGATAGTTAAATGTATAATCTCCCTGGTCCTCAATCTCCTCCTATCAAGACAGGAAAATAATACTTACCGTACAGGACTGCTGTGAGGATTAAATAAAAGTGTAATCAATTAATTTATTAAATCAATTAATTAGACCTCCTTTTTCACTTCTAATTTAATAAATGTATAATTTGGGGTATATTACTTATATACTACATACGTTTATATGCTAGCTTTCATGTATATTTCACACCTGGTTTTATAAAAATAAGATGCAAAATATTCTTTCCAACAACGCTTCAGGGCTGAGTGAAGCGGAAAAGAGAAAAACATATTAATTTTATTTTACAGATGAGGAAGTTAAGTGCCAGGAAGAGAGTGAGTTAATTACCAAACCAAGCCTGAAGTCCAATTTTCTGACTTCCAAATACTGGTAAGTCCCAGGTTACCTGATGTTAACTCTTAACCAGTGCAGCAACTTAACAACCAGGATGGGGATGGGATGGGGGGAATGCGTCCTTGGAAGAAACATATTAATATTTTAGTCGTTTCTATTTGTCTTTAGCCACGACCCTTAATTTATCTTGAAACTTCAAAGAACATTAGAGGGGAACAGAGGAAGGGGCGTGGGTAGGAGTACCAAAATCACCACCCCAGGATCAAACCCGCCCTTAGAGGGCGGAGGGAAAGCACCGTCCCGCAACTGAAACCCGAAACCAACCTTCCGTTTCCTGGGAATGGGCTCGTCAAAGAGAAGGTTGCTGGCCTCCGCCTCGTCGATGCCATCGTCCGGGGGCGCTGGGCTGCGGAAGGGCTTGAAGCTGTCGGCGGACAGCGGCGGCGACGGCGTGGACGGGTTGGACTGGTCGCTGGGGGCGCTCCAGCTCCAGTAGCCGCTGCTGCTCGTGCTGGAAGGCACGCCGCCTCCCTCCTTCCACGATCCGCTCAGGCCCTCTGTCCGTTCACACAAGCACAGCGTCAGTACCCAGTCCCGGACCCCGGGGAGCCCAGGCATAGGTCAGAGGGGAAACGGGGGCCCGGATTCCATGACGGTGAAGGCACCTGCAGCCCACTTGGCAATTTGCAACAGCTGCGCATGTACGTTTTACTCTATTTATACTTAAAAAAAAAAGCCGCATTATAGTTTATAAACATTTATTTTAGCCACACGATAACAGTTTTCTCTAAGAGTTTTCTGATGAGTGTTGCTTTGTGCAACACTAGTTCTTTCGTTTGAGAGTGGAGATTACATAAAAACGAGGGAAAAAAAAGATATTCTGGTTCCATAAGTTTGGGAAGACCGGCGTTTATGGACTGTATCCCTAAGGGAGAAGTCACTTGCGGTATTTCCCCACACCCCACACCTCCGCATTTTAACACTTCAAAAGGAATTTCTTACAGGACTGTGATTCTTGGAATACATTTATAGAAAGAGTTAGTCTAAGATTTAAGAACCTAAGAGAACGAATTTCTGATTGTTACCTAAAGCCATTTACCATCCGGCTTTTTACAAGAAATAATCGTGCCTTACATTTGGTGTGTGTTTTACATCTTACAAAGCTTATTCACACAATCTCCTGCATTCTCACAATATCTTTCAGGGTAAGGATTATCATGCCCTTTTTACAGACAAGGACCCTGAGTCACCAGGAATTGAAGTGGTTTGCCATTTCACCATGATTAGTATATAACTTGGACCGGCCAGGGCCCCAAACCCTGGTATACCAGTTGGCCTTCTTTCTCCTTCAGGGCATGCAGCCCCTGTGTTATGAGCATCCTCCCTTCTCTCTGGCAAAGCTGATATCGTAAAAGAAGTTATTGGTAATAATTACTGATAAGATTGGTGTTGAATTTTACCTTTCCACTTGGGGGGGAAAACATGATGAAATGCTTGCTAATATAGAGAGATCTTTGCTCAGTTTGAATGTCTTCAGGGGGCTCTTTTAATCACAGAAGATGTGCTTTACTTTTCAGAATGCCCAATCTTAATTAGCATTTGTATAAATTCGACTTTCTTTTTGGATAATTTCTTCTCCATATTAATGCACATTTTGAATATATTAAAACTATATTTTAACTCCAAGGAGGAAAAAAATCCCAAAATGACTCATTAAAAAAATGCTGTTAACATCTGTGTAATTAGTAATGAAGAGAAGACAAATAGCAGACTAGCATTCATGGAAAAATTTCTCAACTACCTTCACCTAACTATAAGCTTCCAGAATATTCCACAACTTATGTCAAGCAAAAAGTTCAGTTAGATGAATGAAGTTTTAAGTTGAATAGCAGAAGTAAGTTGACCACCTCCTTAAAGCCAGGCTCTACATGGTCATTTATGCAGGCTCACACCTTGACAGCAGCAACAAAACCAAATCAGCATCTCAGTCCCTGTAGTCTACACAGAGACTGATATACTCCCTGGACCCAAGTTGCCTCTAATAAATAAGAAAGCTCCATTCAATACAACATGAATTCAAGAGGAGCCCAGTGTAAGGCCTTAGGTAATACTACCTGGTGTGACAAACTCACGTGGCAGGCCCAGGAGGCTTATAAATATATCACAGCATGCACTTGTAAATAAAACAAGTTCATAGTGCAAGATCTCTAATCATGTTAAGTATGAGGAGCTGAAATTATTTTGAGAACCAACAGTTGTTACAGTGTGGTTACACTGCTTCATGCCAATGCCAAAAGTTAATTTATTTGTTTACCCGTGAATGACATTTCCTTTAGAAACACTATTTAGGGACCTCCCTGGTGGTCCAGTGTTTAAGAATCCGCCTTCCAATGCAAGGGACTCGGGTTCAATCCCTGGTTGGGGAACTAAGATCCCACGTGCCGTGGGGCAACTAGCCCAAGCGCTGCAACTACTGAGCCCACGCGCTCTGGAGCCCGCGCACCACAACTAGAGAGCCCACGTGCCACAACTACTGCGCCCATGCGCTGCAGTGAAATATCCCGCGTGCCGAACTGAAGGTCCCAAGTGCCACGACTAAGACCCGACACAGCCAAATAAATATTTAAAAAACAAACACTATTTAATCAGAAGGACAATGGAGTCCAGAAATACATATTTCAGAAAATTCTTCAGAAAAAAGAACCAATTCATAATATTTTTCAGAGAGCAGTGTCTCCTTATCTTAAACGTGCGTTTGCTAAAAATGCAGACAGGCATTTTACTGAATCTCACCCTCTTTGCCAACCCACGTCCTAACAAAATGATCCTTTTCCAGCACAGTAAAGGATCACAACAGTTTCCCAAAATTCACTGATATACAATCATTCTGGAGATAATTTTTATTTCTAAAAAAAAAAAAAAGCCTTCATTATCATAAATTGCTTCCCCTTTTTAAGAATTTCCTCCCCTTTGCAGAATCAATGAGATATATCAGAAATTTGGGATTACTATTTGGATAGTTATTTTTTAAGTCATAATGAACACTTTCTTTATAACTATGCTAAGAAAAGTTTGTATTGAAGAAGCAAAAGGTTTATTTTGATTCTAACATTTCAATAGAAAGAAATATTAAAAATGTTCTCAAATTAAAAATATTCAATGGTAAAAAGAACGATTACATCAAAATTACTGTTTTCCCCTGAGGATTCCGTGAAATTCTGTAATTCCTTTTTCCTAGAAAAGGTTTTGGGGATGACTTCACTTTTGCTTTTCCTATCATCTTCCTTTAGCAGCTTTGCCACGCTGAGAGGGACATCAGGAGAAATCATGCGCATCTCAAGAGCACGGTGTCTACTCTGTGTGAGGAGGTGACATCACCCCAGCTTGAGGTGAATCATGAAGGTGGGCACTCCTGATTTCTAGTATTGATCTGAATTCCCAGTATCCTGACCATTCTTCCCACTTACAAATGGGTTGGAGTAAGTTTTGGTGAGGATTCAGTGGATGTTCCACAAATTTATTTTAACACCTCCTGCTTACAACCAGATTATGGGTGAACCCTAGCTCTAGCTCATCATTGACTAGGCTGGCTTTTGAGAGAAGGTCTTCCCTGGCTGTTAAGTTCCATCCAGTGGTCTCAGTACATTACATTCACTGAAGTGCAATATGGCTTCTGCCATGGGCCATCCACTGTGAAAGCTCTCGCCAAAGCCACCAAATTCTTTGTGAGGCAGAACTGAGTCCTTTTCATGCTTGACCTTCTGAAGCATCAGAGGTTGCCCCCTGAAACAAGCTTTTTCCTTGACTTTCAGGAAGTCACAGTCTCCTAATCTCTGCTTCTCCAGTTACCCCTCCCTCCGCCTCTTCCTGGGTTCTTTTCCTTCCATGATGAGAAGGCTCACCACTTCCCTCTTAGCCACCTTCTCTTTGCCCTCCACTTCTCTACAACTCTCTCAGGGTCCTTTCGTCTATGCTTCAAAATGGTGCCTTCCAATTCCACATCAGCCCAGAGCTCTCTCCCAGGCTGCACCAAGATCCCCATCAGATGCTGCCTCTTGAATGAATGATCCTCAGGTACTCCCCACTAAACGTGTTTCAAGCTGGACCTATCATCTTCAGCAACCCCACTTCTTGCTCCAAACATTCACTAATAGGTGTCTTCTTCTGCCTTTGCTCCCCATCTCAGGGAATGGGCTTCCTTGCTGAAGCACAGCAACTTCACAGAAGTCACCCGTATCACTCCCCCTCCTTCATCCTCTCTGTCCATCACCAACTCCTGTTGATTCTGCCTTTTTCACACTTCTCAGTTATGCCTCATATGCATCCACACTGTGACCACCAAGATTCAGGACACCCACATATGTTTTTCTTGTTTATTTTTTGTTTTGGCCTGTAAATCCAATTATAACTTTCTAGCGCCTAAATCATTTAATAGCTCTCCTATAGCCTCAGATTAATGTCCCAACTCATAACCAGGCATACATGGCCCCCTGATTTCCTGCCAGGCTCTCCAACTTCATCTCCTACTGCCCTCCTGATTTATCATATTGAATTATGCAAGTCAGTATTATATCATGACTGAGAAGATCTGGAATCAGGAAGAGAGAATAGAATTTCAGCTCTGCTCTTTACAAGTTAATTAATCCCCAAGTGCCTCAGTTCACTCATCTGTAAAACAGTGATAACATCTCATAGAATTGTTGTGAGAATTACATGAGATAAAGCAAACTTAGTACTTGGCACATAGTAAGTGCTCAATAAATGCTAGCCATTAATACAGCTGTGATAGTCTTCCCCCCACCCCCCGCACCAAAGAGACTGTACACTACCTGGGAGTATGGATACTGCTTCAGTGATGTATTCAAACCATCTATTATGGTACCTAATAAATATATACTGAATGAAAGAACAGATTAAGAAGCCTAGGATAATGCTTTTTCAAAATATTTAATCTTCAGAGCTCTTTGATCCAACTCCCTCTCCAACCAAACAGAAAAAAAAAAAGCTGGGGAATTAACTTCATTAGACTAGTCTCCATTTACCTGGGGGAAAATGGAACACAAGTTCTCAAAGACGTGTTCTGGAAAGGTGATGGGGATCAATAAATGTGTAGTGAAAGGATGGATGCATGAATGAGATGCAGTGGGGTCTTTGGGCTGACGGAGAGGCGGCTGATAGCTCTGGGGTCCCCTTTTTCCGCATCTCTCCTCACTTCCTGCTGACGGGTGAGCGTTAATTGTTCACCGCGTGTGGCAGGAATCAGACCCCTCAAAGAGAAGCTCTGCTCTCGGGGTCAGAGGGTCCTCCCTGTGCCCCATACCCCCGCCTCACCGTTCTGCCGCACAGGAGGGCTCCGAACCAAAGGGCTGGTGGACAAGCTGGTTAGTACCATCGCTGCTGTCACCTTGTCCATGTCCAGTTCCTCTGAGGATTTCCTGGAAAACAGGGAAGGGCATTGTTAACTGTGCTCATTCTGCACCTACCATGCCAAGGACCACATGCTACCATACACATTTACTCCTTTAGCTTGTCCCTATGAAAACCCAGTGTTTTGTTAGTTTTATTATACAGCTAAGGAAGCCGAAGACCAGAAGTGAAAATCATGTAGTATCAGGGGACTTCCGTGGCAGTCCCGTGGTTAAGACTCTGCGCTTCCACTGCAAGGGGCGCAGGTGCAATCCCTGGTCAGGGAACTAAGATCCCACATGCTGCACGGTGTGGCAAAAAAAAATTAAATTTTAAAAATCTGATTTATTAAAAAAATCCTATAGTATTAGGAAGTGATGGTTTCATTCACTGGTCATTCATCTAACAGGTGTTTACTGAGAGTACAGTACTGGGCTAGGCACTTCTAGGCATAGGTGATGCATGGTAAACAACACACAAGGCTGGTGGGAAGAGACACAATGATCAGTAAACAACCGAAAAGGAACAGAATAATTTCTGATAGTGACAAGTGCTATGTAGGGCACAGACAGTTAGTTTGACATGACGATGGCTGTGGGCAGCTGCACTTACTGGGGTCAGGAAAGGTTCTCCGAGAAGGTGATGTCTGAGGTAAAGTGTGAAGGGAGGAGGGGAAGGGGAAATGGACCCCAAGCAGCAGAGACAGCTGTGTGAAGGCGAGGCAGCAGGAGTCAGCACCGGATATCTCAAGAGAGACCCACTGGTGTGAGAAGGAGAGAGTGGTGCCAAGCTGGTCTTGTGGGGTCGTGTGGCCATGGAAGGTGTGCAACAGGAAGTCCCTAGAAGGCTTGAAGCAGGTCTAGTGACATAAAATGATTAATATTTTTAAATTCATGACCCGAGCTGCTACATCGAGAGCGGATTTTAGGGAAGGCAGAATAGAAGCAGGGAGGCCAGTTAGGACATGATTGCTAGGAGTCCAGACAAGAGGAAACAGTGGCAGGGACTAGGTTGGGGGGCAGGAGCAGGTGGTCTGGCAGGACCAGCTGCTGTACTTGGTGTGTGGGGTGAGAAGTAGGGCAGGCACCCAGGTCTTTGGCTTGAGCATTAACTAGAGCCATTTACCGAGATGGAGAGAGTGGAGGAAAACGCAGTTAGGGGTGTATAAACTCCAGTGCTCTGCTTTACAACACTCTACTAAAGAAAGGCTAGGTCAGGGGGTAGTTACCATGTGGTTAAAGTGAAGAGCCACTGAGAAGAAGAGGTTACTCTGGATCATTCATCTTGGCCAGTTAACCCCGAATAAAGGTTCATCAGATAATGATCAGGGTGAACTGGAGCCAGCTGAAGTTGATTTCAGTAAAGACGTTAATATCGAGAGGCAAAAATGTATGCAGTACCTTGACATCAGATAAATTGTACCATCTCCCGAGAGATGAACATTTCGAATAAGGGAACAGTTGAAGAAACGCCAGAGGATTAATGAGGCATATCGACAAAGGAACTGACACTTTGACAAATGTGGCTTTCATTCACAGGTGTGCTGTACAATTTTTTTTTTTTTTTTGCGGTACGCGGGCCTCTCACTGCTGTGGCCTCTCCCGTTGTGGAGCACAGGCTCCGGACGCGCAGGCCCAGCGGCCATGGCTCACGGGCCCAGCCACTCCGCGGCATGTGGGATCTTCCCGGACCGGGGCACGAACCCGCGTCCCCTGCATCGGCAGGCGGACTCTCAACCACTGCGCCCCCCAAAATATGCATTTTTATTTCGCATTTCCAAAAGCTGACGTTTCAAAATAATTATTGCCTGTCATAGAGCAGATTTCTGATGAAGAGTAGAAAGGGGAATAAACATTAGTATAATCAAGAGTGTTTCTGAATTTGGATTACCTTTAAGTTTCCCATTGGCATTGGAGTTTACTAACAACAACAAATCAAAGGAATACTTTGCTAATGATTCAATTAACTTGTATTTCTCAGGAAGTATTTTTATCCTGCTACATGAAACATTACCGGGTGATATGGCCTTGTGCTGAGTTGTGTTTTTGTTTTTATCTTTAATTTCTTTTGGTACAGTACTATCTAATTACTGATTCATTGGTGCTGTAAATTCAAATCCTTATAACTAAACACAAATAGATGATATACAAAGTAGAATTTGTTACACTTTGAGAGAATCGCTACAAAGGCCTTCTGGTAGATTTAGAGTTGTTGAGGCTGGAAAACAAAAAACCCACTGGAGGTGATACTACATATTCTCTCCTAATTTGAAATTGAATTTGAATCTACTGTTGAAAACCTTACTAATCACATGTTTACAAAAGGTTGAGACCTTTTTTTTTTTTTTTTTTTTTTTCTTGCGTTATGCGGGCCTCTCACTGTCGTGGCCTCTCCCATTTGCGGAGCACAGGCTCCGGACGCGCAGGCTCAGTGGCCATGGCTCACGGGCCCAGCCGCTCTGCGGCATGTGGGGTCTTCCCGAAACGGGGCACGAACCCGCGTCTCCTGCATCGGCAGGCGGACTCTCAAGCACTGCGCCACCAGGGAAGCCCAAAGTTGAGAACTTTTTCAATGAATCTCTTCTCTCAGACTTAGTTGAGTAATATGGGACTTAATAACATTTAGAATTACTTTTTTAAAAATACTAATATTCATTGTTACTCTATATGTGATTTGCCCCTCAGGCTGACCTGGCTTCGATGGATGAATAGGATTTCAAGAAGGGAGAATCACATTTCAGGCAAGGAATTAGGCAAGTCCTTATCTTGTAATCCACTTAGGAGTCCTATTTGAAGGATGGGAGATGAGAACACAGAGCCTGGGCCAGTTCATGGGGCCTCATGTGCCAGGCTAAGTGGCTTGTCATATTCTTGTAAGCAGAGGGAAGCCATTGAACCTTCATGACCCTGGGGGAGAGACAGATGATCAATCTGTATTTTAGAGAAGGGTCAAAATGGAAAATGTAATGGAAAGGGAAGAAGCTAAAGGTAGGCTGTTTAGCTGTTTTTAGTTAAACCGTAATTCAAACTCAAAGTAATAGACTAAGAGACATCTGTTGTTCGATGAACAGATAGCATTTAGTCTTTGAGGACAGACTCCCTACATATCTGCTAAGGAGGTGTCCTGGGCCTTTCTGGGAGAGGCGGTAAAGGTAATGGTGAAGAGCACAGACTTTGGAATGAGTTAGATCATGTGGCTTCAAATCCACTCTGCCATTACTAGCTGTGTGACCTTGGGTAAATTACTTAACATCTCAGAGTCTCTGTTTCTTTATTAGAAAGAGGAAGATAAAAATAGATCTGTTGAGAAGGTTAAATGAGAAAACGTATGCAAGCACAAGCACACAGCCTCACTACAGTAAGGGTTCCGTGGATGTTAGCTATTATTAACCTTCAAGTTCATGAACACGCCCATAGCACACAACCCCACAGGAAAGAGGAAAGTGTTAGGTTACTTCACT